CACCTCCATTCAGAATTTGCTTCTTGCATCAAGTTGGTTCATTAAATTGAGGAATTCACCCCAATTTGTCGTCCAGTTATCGCAAAAGCACTCGTGGTTGCTGCGGTGACTTGTCGAATTCCTTCCCCAATCTGTCCATGTATACATTTGCCAAAAGAGGTGAGAGTAGAGATACCATCGGTAGTAGAAATATTTGCTCATAAATAGTGCCGTTGAATGTAAAATATGTGGTATTATTTGTCATGTTGACGACTCTTGCCATATCCGCTCTGCTTCCAACACATCCTCCTCTCGTTCCAAGACCTCCAACAAAGCCCTTACTGCCATCTCACCTGAGATGTTTGTGTGCATGTATTGTACATCGAAACTCACCAACATTTGCGACCCCCACCAACCAAATGTTTTGGATCCTTTGAGGAAATTCATATGAATTCTTGACGGTATTCGAGAGTCTGTCATTTATTTTCGTGAGCTTGAAGCAATTGAATTTCGCTAGTTCATGTACTGCTCCTTGCTTGGTGTTGACTCTTAATCTTAGCGGAAATCCTTCCTCGTCTATCTTCGGTAGTTAAGTCAAGCCTATTCAACTCAAGTAGAACCATTTCATTTGGCGGTTGGCCTGCCATAGAAAGTCATAGAAGAGCGATAGAAACGGTGGTGGCCATTTCTGATTGGCCATTAGTAGATGAGTTTGCTCTCAGACGTGGTCCGTGAAGTAAGGGCTTGACCACGAAATCGACTTGGTGCCCATACCGTCTTAATCATCAAGTCTGGTTGCCATGGCAATTTAGAATCCATACTTTAGAGGCCTGCTCAGTGAGGCTGGCTGGTGCATACGTGCTAGCAAAGGCTTGGGGCGGAGGGTAGAGCAACGCCTTGAAATTGGCAGCTGAAGGAGACAGACAAGGAAAGGATCCAACGGCGTAAGAGGGGACTGTGGAAGGAACTGCAGATAGAGGATTGCCGGCAGTGTGAGAGGGAAGAGGAGACCAGCAGGGAGTGTGAATAGGTTTAAAATAGGCTCGGATAAATAAGTAAGAGATTGTGATTTTGAAGGGGCGTGACGAGGATATGGGATGCGGGAATAGCCCAGGACAGGAGGAGAGATACCACAACTGTTTAGCACACATTTGCTGACGAAACGTCTGGAAATGTACCACGTCCACTAACACTAACTCTTCCTTGCAATATGACCAAGTTGCGAAAACAAGGTTAAACAGCTTCCGTACAACGAAAGGAGACCGTGACCTTACAAAAGGTCACACTATTCTGGTCTAATACCACTTCTTATGTCAGATTGCTGACATTATTATTATTATTAGTAGTAGTAGTAGTATTGCCCCGCTTAAGCTCGTCTTAATTATTTCTTATACTCATTGGACTTATCCGATCCGGTCTATCAGTCATTTTAAAGCTTTAAAATAAGTAGCATCACATGAATTGCAGCTCATTCCTACTGAAGTTTGTTTTCTCATTTGTCTCATCTCTTTGCTTCATTTTAGAGAGTTCGATCAAAAGCAAGTATTAAGCGGTTATAGTAATGGATACGAGATTATGATCTATGAGTTATGTCATTCCGGGCACCGAATGATATGTAATTATGATTCTTTTGTTCGTTTGTAAGTAGAATTTTCGTGATTCATTTCATATTCATTATTCTGCCCTTATGGAGGAATCTTCATCATATCATGTTTTACATGAACTAGGAACATTTGGCGTCACAACCACCGCAGACAATATGAACATAAAGCCAAGAACGTTTGAGATCATGTATATGCTTAAGGTTGGATTACCCATACTGAAATAAGTAAACCTCAACAGCGCCTTGAAGGCCATTTAGTAGTGTTTGTTAAGAGGTTTCCTCAGTTTCCACATTGCCACTCAGTTACATAGCCACGATTTCCACCAAATCACATAGCAAAGTTTCTATTAATAGATAGGCTTAATAGACTACCAGTAGATGATATTTAAGAGATGAATTCACCCAATTTCATTAAGGTAGTTGAATTTTCCCACAATCTTATGATTAGGCCTCAGGTTTCTATTGAATGTTCCATAACCCTGCTTCCAAAAAGGCATTTGCGTACAGCCTGGACTGGACTCCAGCTTCAGCCCCGCCTAGTTCTCTTCAACACCCTCAGCAGGGATCGAGCTTGGATTGTGCTAATGCACTGTATCGTCTCGACACGTCAATCACTACGCCAGACGGCCACAAGTGCCCTTTAAGCAAAGAACAGAAGAGAATTTCATTGAAACGTAAGCCTTTCCTTCATCAACTTCCTATTGTCAGTCTGTGCTACCATAACCTTAAACGAAATAGCGTAAATTAAGCTCTTATATCAGATTTCTGGTGGTCTCAAAAATTGACTTTTAAACTGAAAAGTGAACTTCAACTGATTGTGGGAAAAGTAAAATAACAGTGCTCCACAATCTCAGACGAAATAAATTGAATACAGCTCTGGTAACAGGACAGATTCGACTTGCATAGACAAATAAGCCGATACTATTTCGAGAGCCATTGGCGGTACTGATAAGGCCTCGCCGAAACATCAGGTTTGCATCTCCTGAAGCGACCCAAGATGCTTAAATTTATTCTAAGAAATTGATAGCTTTTTGACCCTGTTTTTATCATGTCAGTTGATAGAAATCATCAGAGCAAAGTACCACTGCCAATGAACAATTCAGGTTAACTACTTAAATACGAAAAATAAGTAGCGTAGTCGATTGTTATAGCAAATATACGTTTGCTTAATCGACAATCCCACCAAAGAGTGTGATATGGCAAAAGGCCTGGCCTTCCTTG